TTTTTAATAAGTTTTCTTGCAAAATTTGTTCTAAGGATATGAGAATTTAATATTTTTTATTTAAAAAAAGTTTTATTGCAATAAAAAATATCACGATCTTTTTATTTAATTATTTAACATAATAAAAATTATTTGATTCTCAAGGAAACATATATAAATATCTTGAAAACATTTATGATTGATCAAGTATATTTTACAATAATCACAATTTTTGAAAAAAGTTATCTTCTATCAATTTTTTTTAATAATAAATATGCTTTTCATTTTAAATTAGCAGATACATGCAAGAAATATGCTTTTTTTACATGATAAGATATAAAGATACTTAAAAACATTTAACTGAGGGAAGATTCATGCAAGAAATCAAATAAAAAAAAATACGCCTAAATTTACAACTCAATAGTTGTTTACATAAATTTAATTAAAATATTGAAATAACATGGTATCAAAATAAATAATAGAAATAGAATATATTATGTAAAAATTAACTTCAAATAAAATTCAATTAGACTGTAAAATGCTTTTTTTTTTGTTATAAAATTTCCACACTTGTTAAAATAAGAATTATTATACGCACCAAACACACAAAGAAGAAGAGTAATTATAACATTCATATAATTTTTATAATATTATTATTTTTATATTTCTCTTTCTCAAATCAACTGTCAATCTATCATATTTAACATTTTTCTGTCATTCTTATTTCTCCTGCTATTGCACAAAAACTGAAAAATAAATATAAATTGTATTTTGTTAAAATAAATATTACCCACGATGTAACCGAAATGCAAGCATTGAAAATTGGACTTGAACCCAAATGGGATGGCCAAACCGAACCCAATCGGGTCGGGTAAGGCTTAGACGCAGCAATACATTCCACCGTTGCCAAGAGAGAAATTTTAGGGTTTATTATGCCTATATAACCCTCGCATCGAATAGGGTTTTGCATCTTCACTACACTTTCAAGGTTTGTTTGCTTAATTTCCCTTCAGTTTTGGTGAAATTCTCCGCACGGTGCCTCCCGGGCCTCTCTGAGTTCCCCATGACGCGAAGGCCCCGATGCACGTGCCAAATCGCCGCCGTTCGTGTTGCAGTTTAGCCCCAATTTTCCACGGCTGATCTGTGTCAAAGTAACGGCCAAATTCCCCTTTCAATTCTTTCTCTTGCCTTTTGATTTTGCCTCGCTATACCTTCAGCTTGTTTTCGAACACCTCTGAAACCCAAGCTAGTCCTAGAGGCGCAGATTGAACCGCGATTGTTTTCGCTTGGGCAATGACTCCTTCCTTGTTCCTCTGAAAACAATCGTCACATTATTTATTCGATTTAGAGTTTTTTTTTTTGTTGGAATTAACTGGCGATGATTTTGTATTATCCGCGCTTCTGAGTTTCGGCACTGAAGCATAATTGGTTCAAATGGTTGAATTTCTTGATATGAGCCATGGTATGATAATTTTCTTTTAAAAATGTTTTTTTGTTGTTATCTGTTTCAATATGTTTCTACTTTAGGAAGTGTGTTTGATTTTTAAAACTTGGCTATGATGATTTCTATTCAGCTTTATGCCAGTTCTGCTTCTGAAAATTTGTGATTGATAGAGCTGTTATGTATCTCTGAGCCTTTCTCGACATTGTTCTATCATTTTTTTTGTTGTTTTAATGTTTGTTATTTAATTGTGTAGTTAATTGTTTAATTTAATAGCTGGGATTTATTATTTTGTGATTTGGTAGTTTGCTGTTCATGAGGTTGCTGATGATGATATAATCCAATTTGCTTGAGGTGTTGTGGATCCAAGTCCCTGTTTTCAGGATGAACCTACTTGGTGAAGCTACATTCATGTGATAACAAGGGATTTAACTGAGGCATTATACTCTGTGAAATTGTGTTATAGATTTAAGTGATTTAATTATTATTATTTAGTTCCCAATTTTGAATGCTTTAAAGTAGTCCGTAAAGCTTTTGGTAACAACATGTTACAAATTCACCAATGATGTGACAATCCAACTTGCTAGGGATTGTAGTTGATCCAAGACCCTGTTTTCAGGGTGAACCTACTTGGTGTTACTACATTTCCAATAGCATCTAGGAACAATCTGAGGTTACCTAGTATTTTTGCAGTTGTTTGTGTTAAAGTTGTGTTGGTTAGGTCTATTTTTTTTTAATCCAATTAGACTTGAGTTTTAACTATACCCTGTGCCTATTTAATTGGTTCTGGGTCTGAAAAACTCATAGATTGAGTGTTGTCATCTGCTTCGTCTCTTGTTTAACCCACGAGATAGGAGTCAAATAACAGCACTACATTTATTTTGAAATTATATATAATATTTTTTTTTTGTTTTTTTCTTTTCAATTTGCTCAATTTTAATTACCTTTTTTTTAATTATGTTTTTGAGTGCTCATATTGAATCGGAATTGGTACTTAGTTTCTGTTTTGTTTCCATTATTTGAAAAAATATTGTGGTTGCTGGTGTTTTTTTTTACCTTATGGTACAACAGTGGGCTGATTCTGTTGGTTCATGTTTATTTATTTATTTTTTTTGAAAGCCTGCAAATAGCCCATTAGAGCTCGGGACGAACTTTTATGTTCTATCATTAGTTGCAGGAAGTGTATACTTTAAATGAAGTTCAGTGGTAAAACTGACTAACCGAACTGTAATATTTCTGTTTTTCTGCTTGTGTCTGGGATCCTTGGCTTAGTTTTGGTGATTGTTTCATACACGGCCTTAGCCATATATCAGTATTCGAAAATGCTTTCAGTAGGGGAAGAAGTTGGAGAAGTTAAATCAAGAGAAATGAGGCTTCCAATCCCACTTTTTGTTGCTTTAGCTATTGGCTTGCGAGTTACTTCTAAATGGGCTAGTTATTGGCACTTGGCACTTGATATAGATGATTGCATGAATGCTTGGAATTAGTGTATCAGATTCTGAAGAAAATGCAGTTCGGTAGTTTATGAAGTTATGGTAGTGAATAGTGTATGACTGCTTTTGCATGCTTTGAAATGGGGCTGGGAATCGCTTGGCTGTGCCTGCGCATATGAGCTTCTTGTTAGACTATCAGTTAATGCATTTATGCAATTTTCATATGCGGCCGGTGCTGCCTTGATCTTATCTGTCACACCAATGTTGAGTTTTATGTTTAAAATTTTGTACAGTTAATGATATATTTATTTTATTCGAAGATCTATGTTATTCCCCATTTTCCTCCAGTTATTCAATGGACTATACGAGTATCCGATTATCAGTCACCCTTCCAGTATTTCAAACGCAAGAAACAATTTGTTAGATTAATATTCACGTTAAATCTAAGCCATATATTTCCATTATATCGATAGAAAGAAAATATCATGTTAGAAACGGTGGTGCATTATTTTTAAAGATGAATATTGGTTTTTGTAAAAATAACATAAAATAATAGCAGTAGCATTCTTTTTCTATCAGTGTTTGTGTAAATTAACATTTTGTAGATATCACAATGAGTTTTTTCCCCTTAGATTTGACTTAATAGTAAGTTCACTAAAATGTGACTTTTAATCGGCAGTAAGGAAGCATTATTTCGAGATTTACATCTCAATAACAGTGTTAGGTCTTAGAAAAAGTTGATTACGGCAAGTTTTGTGAAATAATTCTATTGAGAAGAAAATTAAAGGCGGCAAGAGACCTATCTTCCACAATCCTATAGTTACATTATACACCATTTCAAATTTGCTTTACAAATATAGTGGAGGATAATACATGCAAAATGTCATAATAAAAAAACTATAAGAGGAATTATGCCTCAACTTATAACTGTTATTATTTATGTATTATTAAATAATATTTTTAAAATATAAAAATATTGAGCTATTAGGTTTTGGGTTTTATTGGAAAATTTGTTAACATTATACATAATGATTTGAAGTTAATAAATATATATTATTTGAA